CTCTCTCTCTCTCTCTCTCTCTCTCTCTCTCTCTCTTCCAATGTGCATGCAAAGTTGTATTCTTACATGCACATGCATAGAGAGACAGACTACAGCAGCTGCTGGATGGCTGAGTGAACCTTGAAAACAATGTATGTCTTTTTAACAGTTCAAAAAGTAGTGTTTTACATATTCCCACATTGCAAAGCAGCTTTTGAATGCAATGTACAAAGGAATATGAATAATTGAACATCCACAATTTACTGATGAGGATACCAATCTAATATTTTACATTTAGTTTTACATTTAGCTTGTGTTAGAAAAACATTATTTGTTCCACCGAGCAAAATAGAGAAGTTATTCTTTTTGAAACATAATGTTCAGAATGCAATTCTATATAAATCAAAAATAAACACCATAGAATTCAGCTGGGCTTAATTTTCAGGAATATTATATTTGTGTTTTAGACATGATATTTATTCTACCTCTGCTGCTTCCCTTTCTGTCTATTTACTATGTTTTAGCTATTTGGTGGTTATTTTTGTATCTTAATTTCTACCAGTAGTCCTCAAGTTACAACTACAATTAGGGTCAGAACTTTGTGATTAAGTGAGGTGGTTATTCAGTGAGTGGCAGTCAATTTTACAACCTTTTTTATTGTGGTCATTAAGTGAATTACCATGATCATTAAGTTGCAGTCATGAAGCTTCTCCCATTGATTTTGCTTGTTGAAAACCAGCTGGGAAGGTCACAAATGGTGATCTCATGACCATATGACACTGCAACTGTCATAACTACATGGGTGGCTAAGACACTGAGCTTGTCGATCAGAAGTTTGGCAGTTTGAATCCCTAGTACAGGTCTCCTGCATGAGCAGGGAATTGAACTAGATGATCTCCACTGTTCCTTCCAACTCTGTTACTGTTTACAGTTGAAAAGCATCTGAATTTTTATCATGTGACCATGGGGACTCTGCAGGGCTTTGTAAATGTGAGGACTGATCATAAATTACATTTTTCAGCACCATTGTAACTTGAAACAGTCTCTGAATGAATGTTGGTAAATTGTACCTGTAATTTAGAATACACAGATAAGTCATATCTGACCTTTCTTTCTGTCCAAACATCCTTTTTCTACTGATTTCATGGCATTCTTTCTATGCTGTCTAAATTCTGGCTTGTGAGAATATTTCATGGGAAAGAGTTTTAGTTTTCCCATGTACTGGGAAGTGATGTTTTAGTGACTGTGTGCCACATGCTAGGCTACTATAGCACTCTAGATGAAGTAGTTGTCCACTTGAGATTTCAGCCACAGGTGGTTAGTAGCCACTCAAACTGCTTCTAGTGACTTTTCATTATCCTGAGGGGAGGGGAGATGTAAATCCACCAGTATATATCAAGGCTGTTGCTATTCGCTTACCACTGTATTACCACAAATAATAACAGCAACAATAATTTAATATGTGAGTGCAGCAAAATCGTGCATACTGATTACAAAACTAGACTGAGTTGCTAAATTAATCCATTGGTCATAATATAAAAATACGATTTACCTGTATTCGAAAAGTCATGGAACATAAAGTGGAAAAAGTTGTCAAAAATGAGATCATGAAGATTTTGAGGGACCTTCAAATACAGACGGATCGACATTTGGAACACAACAGCCCAAATATCACAGTTGTAGAAAACGTCTGGGTAAACCACAATGATTACTCAGTTCTTATTGCTTTCTAAGCAGCTGTGCCAATACCAAATGGGTGTTGTCATTATCTTTGAAAAGGTGGACTTTAAAAGTCTCTTCCCGGGCGCCTTTTCTTTGACCACAGTAGAACTGCCTGCAACTGAGATCATCAAAGAATAAGACACAGTCATCCTGTAGTTATTCCTTAAATGCACCCTATCAACTTTATTTTTCTATTAAAAAAAGCAGAGGATACAAAGTTCATAATTAGCATGATGAAATCTAAACAGAATATTCTTTTCACTTGGTGCTTGCTGGCTGCTTCTTGTTCCTTTTTGTTGTGACATAAGGATTTGTTGTTGTTCGTTGTGAAGTCGTGTCCAACCCATTGTGACCCCATGGACAATGTTCCTCCAGGCCTTTCTGTCCTTTACCATCCTCTGGAGTCCATTTAAGCTCACGCTCACTGCTTCTGTGACTCTATCCAGCCATTCATTCTCTGTCATTTCCTTCTTCTTTTGCCCTCAATCTTTCCTCTCCTCCAGTGAATCCTTCCTTCTCATTAGGTGGTCAAAGTATTTGAATTTCATCTTCAGGATCTGGCCTTCTAAAGAGCAGTCAGGGTTGATCACCTCTAGGACTGACCAGTTTGATCACCTTGTAGTCCAAGGGACTCGCAGGAGTCTTCTCCAGCACCATAGTTCAAATTCTTTGGCGCTCAGCCTTTCTTATGGTCCAATCTTCACAGCCATATATTGCAATTGGTAAAACCATAGCCTTGACTGTACACACTTTTGTTGGCAGGGTGATGTCACTGCTTTTTGGTATAACATAAGGATTAATCACAGATAATTGAAATCCTGGAAAATAAACCACTATGAAAGTCTTAAGCTCTTGGAGAGGGCAAACTGCATGTTTATTTTGAAAGAAAATGATGACTTCTTCATCATGGTGTCTTGATACTTTTTCTGCTTTTTATCAGTATTTAAACAACTTCCCCTATATATTTTTTTCAAAAATTGGAATCATAGCAAATGCAATCTTGTGAACGGTTAACCACATTGATTTATTTTAAAGGACATTTTGCCAATCATGTTTTGAAAAACTGATTTCTGCTGGCTTGGGGAAAACAGAATCAAATCTACTTGGCTTTTGTTTTCTCAGACTTTAGAACTATTACTGTATATATTAACAATATTGAGTAAGCTTTAAAAGGGGCATAATGCAGTCAGTTATATGAGAATTGGCATTTTTATTTTTGTGTATGAAACAGGGTGCAATACCCAATTGTGCTACATAAGACAAGGTCATCTTAAATGTTTCTTTCTTGTCCAGTTGCCTCTTGAAAAAGCACCTTTGGGTCCTCTCTAAATGGTTTTAAGATCATTCCATTTAGCCTAATGTTGTCAACAATGACTGGTAGTAGCTGTCCACAGTTTCAGGCAGAAATTTGTCCAGCTTTATCAGTAGATACCACATCTATTTCATTTTTTATTTCTTGTTAACTTTACTATGGACCCTCCACCTAATTTAATTCCTTCTAATTCTAAATTGCTTCTGTTCTATTTGCGGAAGTTATGGTTTGTCATTGTTCCTTTAAAAAAATCCATAGGGTTAATCTAAAGTTAGCCTTGATCCTAAGCTATGACCATTCTAAATTACATTGACTTTAATGATTCCCTTTAAATATGACTGAATCTAGCTCCTGTATATTATGCACTCTTTGATATTTTCTCATTTCCAGGTAATGTTTACAGAAGAAGATGTTAAGTTCTATTTAGCTGAGCTGGCCTTGGCTTTAGATCATCTTCATGGTCTGGGTATTATATACAGAGATTTGAAACCAGAAAAGTAAGTTATTACAGAAACACAATAGTTTAAATAAAGTCATTTTGTTATAGTCACAAAATGTACATGAAATTATACAAGATCTAATAATCATTCTATCTCCTAAATTGTCTAATCCAAAATGAACAGGCAGAATTACCCCAGAGAAGCAAAAATATATATGCCACACCCACTCTGATGATCTGACATCTCCAGCCTGTGCTGCATGAAAGATAATTATCTCTACTGCAAATTGTATTTTTAGTGTATTAAGAACAAACGCGAAAGAACATGGAAGTATTTATAAATGATTGGTAGGCTTCTAACATATGTAATACTTCTTAGTCAAGTAAGATGTTTCACATACTGTCAAGAAAATAAATATATTGCAGCATCTGGTCAAGAGTAAGATAGATGATGAGAAAGAAATTACTGAAGCCCATGGAAGCTCAACTGGGATATTTGTTTCAGGAGTCTAAATGTTCAATATATCTCATCTAGAGGGAATTATTTCAGGGGAAGATTCTGAAAATGCTTTTTTTTTAAAAAAAAAAATTGCCTGTAAAAACATTTCATTTCATTTCATTTATTGAATTTCTAGGCTGCCCAATCCTGAAGGACTCCAGGCGGCTTACAGAAATGAAAATATTAAAAAAGAATTTAAAAACGATAGGACACAACAAAGTTAAGAAGAAGCACAACATACACCCAATCAAAGGGGGGCTGGACCTCAGTCAAGAGGTCAACAGCCCCAGGCCTGCCGGGAAAGCCAGGTTTTAATAGCTTTGCGGAAGGCCATGAGAGTGGGTAGGGCCCAGATCTCTGGGGGCAGCTCATTCCATAGGGCCTGAGCGGCAACAGAGAAGGCCCTACTCCTAGGTGTCACCAGCTGGCATTGTCCCGCTGAAGGCACCCGGAGAAGGCCCATCCTGTGCGATCTTATTGGTCTAAGGGAGGTATGTGGCATGAGCATATTGTTAATTGTTCTGATCTTAAGAAATACATTCCATTAAAAGTCATTATCCTCAGCACTCATACTACTCTCTTGTTGTAAGATGAATCTGTCCAGGATAGAAAGCTCACTATTCTTCTTCTTTTAATGATCCCATAATCCCCTGAAGGGTGGAGTTTGGTCAATTGAATGGTGCTAGCAGAGTGTTTACTGTCGGATGCCCTTCCTGTTGCCAGTGCGGAATTTTGTTCAACAGATTTATTCTTATTATGCCTAGAAAGAGAAATATCTACCTCAACCCAGGATTGAACTCACAGCCTCCTGATTGTGAGGCAAGAGCACCACACCACTCTAGACAGAAAGCTCACTATGTTCTTCCCCTATTTGAAATAAACCATACTTTTGTCTCAATTTCCTGTCCATGCTGACTAATTTCAAGTAAATACTTTTAATTTTTCAGAATATGCTACTTTTCCATTCCCTGAGCATCATTTAAATTATCAAGGACAACATCACTGCCTCTTTTTGCAAAAAAAAAAAAAAAAAAAACCAAAGCGTTGATAAGTGTTAGAAAGAAAAAAACAATGTACAGTCACGTCTCTTTTTTATAGAAGGATTAATTGCTGTTGGTGTTCTCTGAATTATCTATAGATCAAGGAATCACAGAACTGGATTGTATTCTTAAATATAGTATTATTAAGAAGCAAGTGGTGCAACTGGTATACAACCATTATTCAAGGAAGCAAGATTTGTCAAAAGGCAACACATAAAGGATAAAATAGTATTTATTAAATAATAGTAGCGACAACTGTTAGTATTGGTTATTCATTTGTGTGCAATGACAGTCTCTTATCAGCCTGCCAAAATTTTATAGAAGATGACTTCCTTTTAAGTTACTTTTCATGACAAAAGATAACTCTACCTAAAAAAGAGACAGTGTCGTTTTCTTTTTCAGGCAGTCTTATTTCAAGCAACAAATCTTGAGATGGGGGAATTATGTGATGTATCTCTTCTTAATTTCATTCTTAAAGGATGAATATAAACAAATTTGAAGAATGCATCACTACACATAGGAGGAGGAGAGGAAAATCAAGAATATTGTTTGTCATTGTTCAAATTACAAGTTACAGTTCTAGGCATCTGCTTTGGTTTAATATACTAACTTTTCATTACGTTGTCTTCTAGCATTCTTCTAGATGAAGAAGGGCACATTAAGATTACAGGTAAGGTCACCTTTCTATAGCAGCTGGTATTTGCATTATCTATCATACAGTACATCAGCTTGATGACAGAGCGCCTAGCACTTTTGGGTTGCCATCAGGACCTCAGGCTCATTATGAAGGACACCTCATTGCTGCTTTAATTTTAGCACTCCTAGCAGAGTGAAGCAGCCATGATAACAATGTGCCCAACAACATTCTGAAATCGTGAATAGTAAATATTCATCTGACTAACTTGGAACTTTACTTCTGCGACCAGATAAGTGTGCAAGAGAGCTATTTGCTTAAGTAGACATTGTCAGTCTTTAGTCCTGGGAATATATCAGACTGATGTGAGTTGAAATTCAAAACTGCAAGAAAGAAATAGCTATGGATAGATGTACTTTTGGTGCACTAATAAAGGTAGTCCTTGACTTACATTTGTTTAGTGACAGTTCAAAGTTGCAATCGCACCCAAAAAAATGACTTATGTCTGTTTTTCACAGTTCCACCATTGCAGCATCCCCATGGTCACATGATATCAAAATTTGGATGCTTGGCAACGGACATGTATTTATTACAGTGTCCCAGGATCATGTGATCACCTTTTGCAACCTTCTGACAAGCAAAGGCAATAGGGAAGCGAGATTGACATAACAACCATGTTACTAACTTAACCACTATAGTGGTTCACTTAACAACTGTGGCCAAAAAGAAATCGTAAAATGAGACAAAGCTCACTTAACAACTGTTTTGCTTAGCAATAGAAATGTTAGGCTCAGTTGGGGTTGTAAATTGAGGACTACCTACACTTTGTTTGGAATATTCAATATAACTAATAGTATATATTCATTTTTTTAAGATTTTGGCCTGAGCAAGGAAGCCATTGACCATGACAAGAGAGCTTATTCGTTTTGTGGGACGATAGAATACATGGCTCCAGAAGTGGTCAACCGGCGAGGGCACACCCAAAGTGCAGATTGGTGGTCCTTTGGTGTCCTAATGGTAAGGGGAGAACTTTTTTGCAATTCGGTAACTGACACATCAGTACGAGAATGTAAGCTTATTGTGAAGAGCATATTTATGAGTTTGGGAATTTTTTGCATTTACGTGACTCCTCTTAATTTTATCACCACTGTGGATTAGCTCAAAACTTTGTTTAGATCCATTGATTCCAATGATTGTATGTTTGAGAATGACTAATTCTGGCTTCAGTCCTATTAAATTCTAAAAAAAATGATCAGGATATTCTTTCTTCTAGCTCAGTATGGCTTACTGTAAGAGGCAAAGTCTTAAGTAGAATCTTTTCCACACCCTAGGGATTATTATTCTTCAAGTGAAAGCATTCAGGATTAAATCCAGAGTCTGTTTCATGAAAAACTGCAAACTGGATATCCGTATCTAAATATAAATGTGGAGTAAAAATTGACTGCAGATGTTTAGAGCCATTTCCTGTATTGTGTTAACATCAATCCTCTTTTGTCCTAAAATGTGATTTCAGCCCTTATAGCTCCTGAAGTCCAGATATTCATGACTTTTCAGTCCATAATCATACAATTGATGTAATTTAACTAGCAGACTGCATAATTTGTACAGTTTTTCACAGTTGTGTGGGTAGTTTGGGAGGTACCAGCCACTGCTGTCTCCAAGGGCACTATGGGCATTCTTTATTCTGGATGAAAAGCTGCCATCAACCTTTGTAGGGTTTTTTGTAGTTTCTTCCTGAATTTTGTTGCTTTCGTATTTAATTTTGCATGGAAGAAGTCTATATCTTTAGGTAGAAGTAATCAATGAACTATCAGCATGCATCTACTGAAGCATTCTCATCAAGAAATCACCAGTATTGTAATTCATTGGTGATAAAAGTAGTATGTAGGAAGTTGTACAAGTCAGACTGTTAAAGTTTTCATTTCTGTCATTTGACCATCTTGGCAACTAGCTATTGCCAAAGCAAAATGTTTGTTCATTAATTTAGATAATATATTAAATAAGATTTTATGCCTTGGGTTTTTCCCAGCCTTTTATTTTCCTTTTAATTCCAGTTCCAGTACTTTTCTTCTTTGCCCTAGACAGGTTTCATTGAGACACTTGATATGTCACACAAGGCCGAATGCTGATACAGAGTAAATCTTAAGCTGGGTTTGCACCAGTGGTGGGATTCAATTTTTTTTTACTACCAGTTCTGTGGGCGTGGCTTGGTGGGCGTGGTGCAGCTTGATGGGCATCGCCAGGGAAGTATATTGTAACATCTCCATTCCCTCCTCACTCCAGGGGAAGGATACTGTAAAATCCCCATTCCCTCCTCACTCCAGGGGAAGGATACTGCAAAATCCCCATTTCCTTCCGATCAGCTGGGACTCAGGAGACAGAAAATAGATGGGGTGGGGCCAGTCAGAGATGGTATTTACCGGTTCTCCGAACTACCAAAATTTCTGTTACCAGTTCTCCAGAACTGGTCAGAACCTGCTGAACACCCCTCTGGTCTGCATATTGTGTTAACCTTGTTTAAGAAATATTTAGGAAAAAACTGAATGTGTATGTAGATGATGATGATGATGATGATGATGATATCCATTCAGTTGGGTTTTACTCTTGGCAATTCTATGGGCCACCTCCCTCCACATCATCTGATCTTGCACTATGTTTTTTGTGTTTTTCTATGTTATATTTGTTGTCAGCTTTGATGGTGACATAAATAATAAGGTCAGCTTTCATAGTTCAGCGTGAAAATTGTTCCTAATCTGTTCTTACAGACCTTTGCACCCTGGTTCTCCCTGCCCTGCCCATCTTGATACTAATTCTTTTGCCATGGAATTGACTGCAAAACTTTCCATTTTCTTATCAAATCACTGTTTCCCAGTTCTCAACTTTCTGTAACTGTGACTGAGTTTTTTCTGCAGTTTTTCCACTCTGCCCTCTTTTGTGGAGGGTTTACGCACTTCCAAAGCTGTATATTTTCTCTCTCTCTTTTTTTTAAAATATCTAATCCAATTTGGAGTAGGAGAGCACTAGCATGTTGGCTTCTGCCACAGCTATGGCTCATTAGGGAAGTGCAGCATCCCCATCCCTAGCCTGCTGTTGCTAGGAGACAGGAGAGCTTTATTTTATGGACAGTTGAATTAATTTTTTTTAAAGAGTGGTCGAAAGAGAGGGAAATTAAATTGCCAGAGATTGGTCTTTTAAGGATTATGAAGTGGCTAACCAGTCATTCAGAAACCGAAAGTTTTTGAAAGAAGAACTGGAAATGCATGTATTTAGGGAAGAAATAAGACATTGGAACCTTATCAGAAGAAGGAGAAAAGAGACCACTTGGAAGGCAAAGGTGTTAGGGAGCAACTGGATGTAGCTTGGGGCCACTTAGAGCCTGTTGTGGCTGATAATGGTTCAGTTCTCCATGAATTGATCATTTTTAAAATTTCTGTTTTCATTGTGAGACTATGTCCTCTGTTTCTGAGGCTGAAGCCAGCCAAAGGAGGGTGTGTTTATGACCAGAGTTTAGTTTGGTGATAGATTACATGGATTTTCTTTTTTTATATAGTTTATTTATATATTTTCCATTAACATATATAAGTGCTTTGTGAACAGTGTATTGTCTGAGTCAGTTGCTTACATAATAAAGTTTTCCAAGATCCTAATTTCTACTTCTATTATCCAACCATTTATATAACAAATCCCATATTTGGAAATATTCTGTATTTTCCTTCTCTTTTATCTTTAATGTCAGTCTACCTATTTCTGAACAATCTAATATTTTTTTTCAATTACATCTTCTTCTCTCAGTGTCTCCTCCTTTTTACAATACTGTGAAAATACAATTTTTGCTGTCATCAAAAATGCAATATTAAATAGTTTAGTTTTAGTTTAGTTTTATTA